CGAGGAAAGATAAGAGGATAATTTGAATCTAATGCAGCTTCAGTTTTGATCGTCTGAAGCACACACAATTTTTCTGCACGATGCAAGAACTGATGTACGGAAAAATTTACGACGGACGAGAAAGGTCTCGACATAGACCGAGCTGAACGGAAAGTTGATTCGCTAGTCTGTGAATTGAATAACCAAATGTGAAGAGCTCAGAAGCTCGTTGACTGTTGATAACAAGAAGAGTAAGATAGGTTAATGTGTGTGTGTTTAATTCAATAGACTAAATAAATAATAATAATATTTAATGGTTTAATCTTACAGGATTTGTACTTCGAAAAGAAACTGATGAAGAAATGCGTTGTCTACTTTTTCCGAGTTATACCTCAAAATGAACGTCGCTATTTTCACCCGATCGTACATCATATAAAACGATATTATCGCATCAATAGCTGGATAGGATGACTCATCCATCTTACACGATTTTACCAACATAGGAAAACAATATACGTCTTTTTCTGAGCAGTCTTGAAGTTCAGTGTATATATGCGGTGTTAACTTGACTTTCTAAAAATCGAAAAATAAAACACATAAGGTGCCGGAAATTCGAAATTTGAGCAAGGTTTGTTTTTTAATTTATTTGTCAATGGTTGGTTAGAGCGGACAAAACTGGATAGGAAAATGTAGTTTTAAATTTTTTTTGAAAGGCTTTTACATTAAAAGAAAATCAAAACATTGATTTGGTCCTATTTTTTGAAAAAAGGTCCATTTTGGAGAAACGGAAGCATATTTTTTTTTCTGATTTTTCTTTTTGTCTTGGTCTTTTAACCATGGTTAAAAGATGTAAATGCATTTTGCATGATGACCTTTTTAGAATACGTGTCAAGGTGAATTTTCAATTCAACACTTGATCACAAGGCGATATTATTGGACCTAAACACAAGACAAATTTGAATTGGCAAGAATTGCAACTAACAGACATTAAATTAAATTGAGCCTCTTGGAAGTTTAATGTTTAATTTTTTCTGGACCATTATATATATCGGTCCAGAAAATCGGTCTTTGATTTGTAGAGTCACTGATTAGCATTTTATAGTCATTACAATTCTGTTACACATATGCTATATCGTGGTTTAACGTGTGTGTTATTCATCTTTAGAAAATATGTAATAACAGCGGTGAATGAATATCTCAAACGAAGTTCTCTAGACGAAACGGAAAATCATGTAACAACGAAAACTGAAATTGTATTTGAAAGATGAGAATTACTGTTTTATTCGATTTATCGGCTAGAGAATTGTTGGTACTTCGGTATCGGTACCAGTACTGTTTTCACACAGTACCGAACATTTCGGTTCGGTACCCTGTTAGGTATCGTTCGGCACTTTCGGTTCGGTACCAGGAAAAGTACCGAAAAATTCGCTACTTACGAAAAAAATACAGAAACGAGAGTCTTCGCGATTTAAGGTGGAAAAAGCTTTTTGTGAATTCAAAAATAGATTTAGATGATGAAAAGTGCATTTCAGCGTGAAAAAATGCATCTGGGGATGTATACTTCAAGCATTTTGGAGAACGTCAATTTTTCGGTAAAAAATGCGAAAAACTTTTATTTTCAAATTGATTATTCCATCTTGTAGAGGATCAGTCGTTCCAGAAAATGCGGGATAAGAGAATCCTGCTAAGAACCTTTTTCTGGTTCAGAAATAACCTTTGAAGAAAATTAGTTGCGTTTTGAAAAATAGAAAATTTCAGAAATCCCAATTGTTTTCTAGAAAAACTCAATAGTGCAACAAAAGTAAATGACCCATCTTCTTTAGTTTTTATCGGGCTTTTGAATAAGATTTTGCTCGAACAGAACAGATCAAATTTGACTGAGCTACATGCAAAATGCTGGCAACATCTACTTTTTGGAAAATCCTTGACATCCTTTACTTGAAAATTCATATCGCAGTCAAATTAAGTTCGGTAGATCCAAAAATTTTTTCATAACCCCAGATTTAATCATACAATCGAATGGGATCGTAAGGAGCGAGGGACAATTTTGACCATTCCACTGATCTCTGAAGCAGTGCTCGACTGAGGCGCGAAATCTCTCTTAAATATATGTATGTCTGAGTAATGAACTGATTCTGCATAAGACGGCGTTAACTACCGAACATAAGAAGAAATGCAGGACAAAAAAGCAGATAGACATACAACGACAGCTATACATAGGAAACGCAATGCTTTTTAAAAAATATATAGCATTTTGCTGAAATTTGGAATCTCCTCTCCGAAGCTGACCTTTTCTAAATGTAAAATACTTTCCGTTTTAAAGGCTCTAAGCCAAAAATATTAGCGATTTATGAATAAACTTAAACGATTCAAGGTAAAAGTCCTACTGGGCAGCTATTTCGAGTGCTATATCAATCGATGAAAAAACCGATGTAGATAAAACATTATGCAGTTGAAACCCTCATTATGGAGTGGAACTAAATTGCAACAACACTTTATAGTCTAGAGATGCAACCGGTCAACAAAAAAATCATGACAAGTACTGGCCGGTCGACCGACCATTTTTCTAAAACTTTTGATGTAAGCGCAAATTTTCAGAGAAATTTTATTTCTTCGTCAAAATCTTCATTCAGCTTATGAATAAGAAAGATAATATCTAGGATGAACTTACTCAATATTCTGACAAAGTAAATTGAATCATATAAAGAGTGCATTTTTCAAGTATTACTCTTCACGGGAAGAAACAATTTACGGCGATTTATTTCAATTCTTTATCTGATCCTCAAGGTGGAAGATTAGAGTTATTTCGTTAGTGTATTAGAATGTCGGGTTATCTTGCCCATAAGATGAACGAACATTTCGATGAGCAGGTAGAATTTGTTCTTTTCGATAAAATATAAAACTTGTCTTTTCGCATTTATTGTTTCGAAAGAAAAGATATTCTTTGCGCATAAAATATGAGTATGCAGAAATAAAATGATCGAAAGAGTAGCGGAATAGAGAAAAAGAGGGACAAGCAATAGGAGAATACTCTAGGAATAGAGAAATGGCGACCGGCTGATCGGGATTTACCTTGATGTGCTTCCTTAGATGGTACATAAATTCATTTTCTAAATCCTTTCTGCGTCCCACGTAAACATTAAATCATCCTTCTCAGCGTCTTTTCTCTTTGGTTCTATTTTATTTGAGTATATATCTCATTTACATAGACATGGATATTTTTTTCTCAAGACTTTAACAAATCGTCTGTCCAGTATGATGAAACAATTGAACATCCACTTTGCAAGACAACTCACACATCTCGAAGAGAGAGTCAGCAAGCCCTTTTGTCAAAGAATGTGATCAATTTAGGAAGAAAAAAGTTCAAGTTGCTTATGTAACGACGTTGTCTACTACGAAAAAGGAGTCAATAATCTACTTTTTGTACCCCGCGAGAGCATACAAATCGTTTGTATACAAGTAATTGTAGCGTTTCGTATTATCAATCTTCCTTTTTTCTCTCGGATTCAATAAAATTGATATTTTATATCGGTTTAATTTTGAACAAGTATACTGAATAACAGCAGTGCTCGTTACAAGCTATAGATGGATATTCTTTTTCTCCTTCTGTTTGTTTACCAGGATAAAATACGAAAAGAGAAAGTGAAAAGAAAAACATATATATTCCGAACGAAAAAACAGAGAGAAAGCAATAAAAGGAGTTAATTTACATGTAAAACAAGTTTTTCCTCTATTTCTCGAAAACTAGACTTTGCACCTAAAAACAGACGCCGGATTCGGAGTATACGTAAGAAACTGAATCAGAATACATATACCGTTTTCTTCCAAACCGGATGCAAGTATAACCAACTCGATAATGCTTAGTATAATAGCAAAATTAATAAATCTGTGATGAGTATATTTCTATACTAGCACCGAAATACAGGAGTAGTTGAACTCACTGTAGTTTTGTACGGAAAAGAGGTGTGTGCTGATATCCAGAGCCCGGTATCGACAACACTAATTTCTTGGTGTTGTTGATTTCGTGTTCTGACACCCCTGGCCGGAACAAACGCTGAGTGTTTTCCAAATTGGGCCATATTTTAAGCTGTGCAATGGGGACATTTATGTTTGCTTTGTCTTGAAAGCAATTTTTTTCGCTTAAAGTTACGAAACTTGTTTTTGTGTCAATGTTTGAAGAAAATACCTGTAGAAAATATAGATATATATTCTCTTCCTCATTCTCTCCGTTCATCATGAAAATGGTGAAACGAACAGAAGGAAAGAAAGAGAGAGAGAGAGAGTGAGAGAGCAAAGAAGAAGGAGAAAAACACCTAATTTCAACGTTAAAACGATCTTTCGCTTCTTTTTCAAAAACTGGACGTTCCACCAGAAAACAAACATCAGATTTAGAGTCTACATGCGAAAAGGAATCAGAATATGTATGCTGTTTTTCTCTAAACCGCCCCCCCAAAAATCGGCCTAGTCTGTAAATTACAGACTTGCACATAGCCATGAAAAGCAGATGACCTAGAATCAACCGTAATGGTATGGTTTTTTTATTAAGAAAGTCACAGATAACAAAAAAATCTTTATAATGAAGTTAAAAATCATGTTTAATAAAATGCATCCAACAATGAATAGTGTGTAATGTCGCTCTTTAAGTTAATTAATGTACAACTAGAGTAATACCATGATCACCACTATTATCAAGGCCAAGCAACGTTTTTTGAATATATAATTCCCACGTAGAGCCTAACTCTAACTGTGTACAATACATTGAATTTTTATCACGCATTTTTAAAACATAATCAAATGCCATTCCATATTCTCTTCTGTAGTTTTCCATTATTGGATCAATTTTCTTTTTAAGAAAAACAAAAGAAAGGAACATTTAAGAACAAAGAAGATCTTCTGTATTGAGTAAATTACCTTGCCATTATTTTTAATTTGTTCAACTAAATTTCTGATTGAATGAATATCAAGTGGAAATGTTAATGTCAATGATAATTCACTTTGCGAGATAATATAAATTACGATCACAGTTGTACAAATCAAATCATTGATTTCATTGCGGATTTTTTCAGCTAAAATACATTTTAGTCATCAAAATCTTGCGATCCGATGAAAAATGCATAACATTAAGATCCTTCATTATGGGGTGGAAATAAATTGCAACAACACTTATAGTCTAGAGATACAACCGGTCAACAAAAAAATCATGACCGGTACCGGCCGGTTGACCGACTATTTTTCTAAAAATTTTGATGTAAGCGACCGGTACAAACGTTCCTCAAGAACTCTTTCGGGATAGTAATTTCTATAAGAACAATGAACCTTTTGCATTTCTTTTCATTCGGAATAAAGAATTTGCCTCACCCCGGGGCGCCCGGTCCGATTGCATCTCTATTATAGACCTCCTTTCATGGAAATTCTATGGAAAAAAGTTCCTACTCAAAAATGATGTATTCGTAGACTTACCAAATGAATTTAGTCCTTGTTCAGTTAAATGTTGTTGAACTATACCAAAATCAATATTATTGAATATGGCCTGCAGATCTTTGGTGAACGAAAATGAACCATCCTACAACGTGAGAAAAATACAGGATATATGGTGTAAACAGAGAGGACGTTAGTATTGTTCAGCTTACATCATTCTGAAGTTGAAATATACTGTCGATTAATTCAGCTGTCATCATTCTGCGGTGCATCTGATCAAGTAATGGTGTCGACGAATCTGGTAGAGTAACGAAAAGACGAAATGCAGGATTTCTGGCTCAAGAAAATAACAATTTTACTAACTAATCGATATATCATTTGCTGAAAAATTGTATGGATGGAAGTTTGTTTTACCATCAAGCTGAAAGAAACCAAAAAAACACATTAATGCATCAAAAAGTCTAACTTGCAGAACTGAGGCAATTTTAGTGAGGCAAAAATCTAGCAATCACCCACCATTAGTTTGTTCGAACGATCACGGATTGCTAGAAAGAAGAAAAGAACTCTTATATAAGAAGTTTTATAAACCAACTTTCAGTATATACAGTTTATGTCGTTCTTACCGTGATCAGCAGATGGTAAACTTTCTACAAAACGTACATGTTGCTCAATAAAATCGCGTGTCAGACGACCTTTATCTAAATGAGGAAAAAAAAGATAATTTCTTTTTTAACATTGGCTACAAAACGCTTGAAACAAGTCTTCAATTTACCATCTGTTATTGCAATTGACTTTTTCACTCGCGATGCTTGTTCTTCGGCAGTAACGTTTAATATTCCATTAGCATCGATATCCATAGTAATAGTTATGTTCAATGTTTCAGAAGCAAAATTTTTGGACAGTTTTTCAAGTGTAAACTCACCCAAATAATTCTACAGTAAAACACAAAAACGTTTTTTTCATTTAGTCATAAGAATCGATAAGAGACGCATTAACGATAGAAAGATTTAACAATGTCTTTGTCAGATAGAGTCGGTTAAAAGCCTTATTTTGCTGTAAACTTCCCCCTCCCGTTAAAATCCAGGATTTTCTTGAGAGATTTAACTGTGACATGTAGATTATACCTTTATCTCTTTCCAAAACAAATCACACATTTCTCTTTGAAATAGGAGTTCGGACAGCAATTGTGAAAGGATGTTTAGATCGGAAGTTATACGCTTCAAAACTTGGTTAATATTTCTTTGCTTCCGAACTTTCTTTGCCGCCGAACGGATTTTTTGTCTGCACCTATTCACGGCTTAAACAGCCTTTCCTCAAAATCAATTAGCGAAGTTTTTCTCATTATGGAGAGTAACAAAGACGAATTCTGACGTTAAACATCAGTTTTTTTTATGAAAACAAGTTTCTAAGAAAGTCGATACGTATTTTTGGGTTTTTGTAAGTAAAGCGCATACTAAAATTAAGCAAAAAAATCAGCCACAGTTATGGTTCTGGCGCACACATCAATAATTCACAACTATGTTCTCTTTGAAGAAAGAATCCTGTAACATCAGAAACTCCCACTTGCTCTCACTTTGGTTGCTTTATGGGTTCATAACTGCTGAAAGGGAGGAGATAAAATTCTGATAATTTCTTATGGAAAAAAAAAGATCAACATTCGAATAAATTTGTTGACCGAAAAAAAGGATCAAGAGAATAACACTTTTTGCTAAAATTTGGATATGTTGGTCTTCTGTTGAGTGAAGGGTCTGTTAATTTGAAAAGAGCTTTAGGCCAATTTGAACTAGAAAAATGAGCTTACCTAATTCTCTTCCAGATAAAGAAAATTTTGAAAAACAACTTACATTATATTTTGTTAATCGATGTTCACCTTCAAAAATTTTAACTGTAGCTGTTGTTTGACCAGCAAATGCATTTGTAAATATAGCCCAATTTTTTGTTGGTATTGTTGTATTTCGTTGGATAACGGCTACATATTCACCGCTCACTAGCTCAATTCCCAAAGATAATGGTGCAACGTCTAACAATAATAGATCACAAATATTAACATGATACTAAAAGTGAAAACAATAACGAATATTTTTTTAATGTTTGCTAACAGTCTATTCATATTTTATTACTACTTTCTGTTCTTCTTCTTGTGGTGGTGGTAGTAAATTCTTTTTCGATCTTAGAGCATCGGTCTTGTGTAAGTATCCTTTGCTGGCGCTTTTATTAGCTTTTCTGGTTTCTGTCAACGAAGACAATTCGTTCTCACTAAATTAAAAGAGAAAACAATCAATTTCTTTTCTTTCATTTGACTTTTCATACGTACGACCTTTGTACGATTGATTGCAATGGTGGTGAGTCTGTTTCTAAATCTGGAAGTGGAACAGGACTGTGACAACTTCGAGCCTGTTCGTCTGCTCTTGTCTACAATAGTACGAAACCGACATGATATTTAGGATGAAGAGTACATAGACTATAACGTTCGTTCCGTATGCAAAACTTCGTTGCCGAGCCGCTGCTGTCTGCGTTTATTTCAACTAAATTCTCTGTAAACTGGCTCCGCAGCATAACTGAACGATTTACGAATGGCTTAAGTAATATATTTTTCTATTGTTAAATAGAATATTACTTACATCAGTAAACCGGGCGGCGTGCGCAGCTTGTTTTCCTTTATTAGACATTGCTCCTCTCCCACGTTCTAATTCCGAAAAGCCGCCCCTTCTTGAGCTCACTGATCTTGGTGAAAGTCCTCGTTGGAAGTCCTCGCCACCTTGTTGCAATTGCATGTTTTGTCTTGACTACAGATAAATGCCATACTCAGTTATTATTTGTAGAGAAAATTACTTATCGAGACTCCTGACAAAAATTTTTTTAAAGTTTTCTCTGATTTTTAAAACTACTACTCTGAGGGTTCCGATAAGGTAACCGGTGCAGGCCTAGATAAAACCATGCGTTTTTACCACTAAAAAGACAATACTTTTTTGCTATGAAATGATATGAAAAGTCAAGCCGAACCACCGCCGGTAGGTGGCGTGTTTCATCTATCTCTCAAGGAATTGATCGCTAAACCATGTAGATTCAATGAATTTCAAGTATAAATTTGGTCATTCCGATAGCTTAGACAGTGGGCTACCAGTCTTTGAACGTCTCATCACTCTAGTTAACATGGTTAGTTGTTGAATAAATGAGACTCCACTGTATTTCGGAACGGATATTAGTATCTTCTGCACTAAAGGTGAAGCTTTCCGTCCTACCGCCAGTAACCAAAACCTTAGGGCTTGAATGAGCCTCTTCCCGTGCTCGTCTCATCTCAGCAGGCATCATTACTTCCTCCAACATAGATCTGTATCTTACCGTAAACCCAAGGCTGCTAATTCCTGACGTAACAACATTTTTTATTTTTCCCAATAAAGATGTAGATGCTGCCGACGACTTGTCATAGAATGACTCGTTTTCAAATAAGGAGGGAAAGTATCCTGCTGCTTGTATTGATTTATTTAAATCTGACATTTGTGGTGCTGGAGGCATTGCTTGTCGTTGGTATTGTTCAGTCCCTTGGTTTATTTCAACCGTGGACATTTTCTTTGAATGTCTTTGAGCTCCACGATTTTGTTTTGTTACCATTTGTTTTGGCTGATAATCCATCGATAAAGTTGTCGTTGAGCCGAATGATTGTGGACTTTGAACAGGAAATACTGGACAAAAAAATTCAAAAAGAAGAATAACGACCAATAAATTCAGGTTCATCCGAGCGTCACTGCAGTTTTGCATGTACAATTCTCCAGACTTCAATTTTTTATGAACAATCCCTTCTCGGAAAATCCCGATCATATCTCGATCACTGTATATTTTCGTTAGCGAAATCCTAGCTACTGTCCTAATGTTTACATGTATTCATTGAATGTAAACTTGTTCGATAAATAATACTGCTCACAAATGGACGACAAGTAAAAGATAATCTTTCCCAGTTTAGCTTGAACTGCTTTTTTATTGACTTTTTTAAAACTAAGGATAGAATGACGCTTTTGGCACTTTCCCAGGACTAGCGGATGATAAGAAGAAAATTTAAATTATTTCGGTGAATATATTATATTTATGCTGCTGGTACTGCTGTATTTCAAGAATAACTCATCAAACCTCTCGGACTCAGCTAAGTCGCTCTTAAAAATGATGCTTTACCATCGTTCGTATAAATCGTAGTAATCTTTATTCGAGAATTTCTTTTCCTTTATTTGCATATGTGAAGGCATGGCATAGTGTTCAAATAATAAAAACACCTATACCGTAAAAAGAATAGTTTTTGTGAAGATCGAGCTTGCAGAATCGGTATTGAATTTATAGGTATATGAGACAGAAATTTCGCACGGGAGAGAAGAATAAAATTGCAAAAAAATACCGAAAATTATTCCTCAAATAGTTCGACGTAAAAGCTTTTCACTCATACATACTCAAATTGGGATTATCAGCTTTACAAAAAAATAGAAATAGAATTCTCTTTGGTACTCACACTGAGGCGGCTGTTGTTGATTAGGAGAAGAGAAACCGAATGATTGTAGCTGAGGAGCTGCCGCTGCAGCGGATCCGAAAGATGGGGCTGTTGTTTCTACGGATGATGCACCAAATAGAAACGGTGAAGATGTGGTGGTTGACATCAATGGTACTGATGGGAAATTTGGAGTATAAACAGGTCTGGTATTGTCTCTATCATTAGTACCAAATACTAGTGTAGCAGGCGTCCGGTTCAGCATGAGATCACAATCGGCTGTATACGGACAATTTTCATATTGTGTTGCGCTGTAAGTAGGCGAAGTTGGAGAATATGTTGGCGAAGTTGGAGAATATGTTGGCGAAGTTGGAAAATATGTTGATGATGTTAATTCTGACGTAGACGAGAAAACAGCTTTCTGTTTTTTAGCGGCGCTTTTTGAAGATACATATGGCGTTGCAGGAGAAAAACCAGAGACTGATGTAGAATATGTTTGTTGCTGTGGAGTTATTGATATTGTGGGGAGAACGCATAGTTCTATACTATCAAGTAAATCAAATTCTTCTCCATTTCCAGATTCATCAGCTTCACGCGATTGTTCTGCTGAGTTTAAGAATGGTCCGCTACTAGCAGGTGATAATGCGGTTATATGCTCTAATTAGAGAAGAAATTAACAAGAAACAGATATAAGCGTGACAGCTTGTCTTTTTAGAAAATAAACGAAGTTTTTCAAGTGCGAGTTCATCCACCCCTATACGTAAATCCGTCCTTGTCGGTTTGAAGAGAACATCTGACTGTCCTTAAACTTTTTCGCTGAACAGGTAAGTACTAAGAGCATACCAAAAGTAGTGAGAGTTCCAATTTTTTCTTCCAAAGTAGACTTTAAGAAATTTTCTTTTTATGTAGTCTGATAGAGAAAAAAAAGCTCTATTTTTCTATGCTATTTGATCATACTTCAACTAATATAAGAATAATAAAATTTTGATAAAATCTGTTTTGTTCGCATGTGTCACGGTTCCATGAATGCTAGTGAGTATTTTTTGAATAACTTTTCATAGAAACAAGATAGAGAGCTGCGGTGTTCACCGTTGGAGCGAGAAAATGTAGATGCGTCGAATCATATATTATAGGCTTTTCTAATATTGATTTCTGAAGTATTTTTGTGCAATTTTCTAAGTGTCGAAAAAATGTTTTTTTTTTCTGAAAAAAGGAAAAAGCACAAAAGTGAGCTTTTTTCACAGATTTTGCTAGAAAATTCTATTAGAAGCTCTACTAAAATGCATATTATTCATCTCAACCTTCCGCACTTTGTAGATCTTCGATTAGTGGGTTGAATTTACACTTGATAATTGAAAATTCAATGTAAACAACTTATCAAATATATTTGTTCTTAAAAAGGTCAATTGAAAACCTTACAAGGAACAAATCAAGAAAATCTATGATATATGATTCGATGCGTCTTCAGCTCTTCTTTCCAACGGTGAAAACCGCAGCTCTCTATCTTGCTTCTGTCAAAAGTTATTCAAAAAATACCCACTCGTATTTTTTCAAAATTAGTATGAATTCAACCGGCACATAAGCAGCCGAAATAGGTTTTAAAGATAATTTACTATTATGATATTAGTTGAAGTACAATCAAATAGCATAAAAGTGAAACATAATTGAAACATAATTGTCGAAACGTTCTTCTTGCACAGTTTGAATCAATGATATGTGATTAAAGTTTGATGAAAATTGATGAGAGAGGTTTTTTAACCTATTAGTTTGTAATTAATTAATACTGGTTTCCTTGCCAAAATAGGAAAAGCATGGATAGTTTTTGAATAACGTTCACAGGGAAAGTGATAAACTAGTTTTTGAAGGTTTTAGTATTACGTAAAATTAGCCAAAAACTGTATATTTCAGAGAAAATAGATTTTAGTGAGTTCTTCAACCTTCTTCGGAATATAAACATCACCAGAAGACTCAGCGTACTCGATCACCTATATTCCAGTTGTTTTTGATCTACCTGAAAGTCATCAGGTACCAGTCTTGAGGCACCAGTCTCACAGAGAAAATCCAATACCAGGCTTAAACAACTAAAGGTGAACACCTTGTCTGCTCTCCATTTCGAGAGAATGCTTTGGACTGTCCATCCATGAAAGAAAAACAATTACAGGTCTATCACAAAATTTTGAAGTATAACAGGTTTTCCAACGATTCTTTCAGAATCTTAATTTGTGAAAAGAGTTACAAACTTACTTTTTCATCAAAAGATGCATCAGAGTCTTGGCTCGGTAGATGAAGCCAGGAGGTCTTTATCACTTTCCCTGTTCAAAAACTATCCATACTTTTCCTATTTTGGCAAGGAAACCAATATTAATTAATTACAAACTAATAGGTTAAAAAACCTCTCTCATCAATTTTCATCAAACTTTAATCACATATCATTGACTCAAACTGTGCAAGAAGAACGTTTCGACAATTATGTTTCACTGAACTACGAGCTTTTTAAAATGGGAACTACCAAAATGGGCTACACCAACACCGCTCCAAGACTTCTGCAAGATTTGCTCGTAAAATATTTACAATACCTAACACACCTGTCTGAAGTTTGTTCATTCTATTGCTGGGACTGGTACCATCCCGATATTTTTCTTCCGTTTTTTTCTTCCCTTTTTTTCTTTCGTCTCTTTTGTTTCCGACATCACTTAGGGAACAGGCATCGTTCATTTCCAGAAGATCCACCGATGTAGGCGTCATTCCACCAGTAAACACGTCCCAGCCTATACCACCCTCGAGATCGTCGTCTTCGTCAGGAAGTGGGACGGCTGCTGCTTCTCTCAATTGTCGTGCATACATTTCCATTGTCTTACTGTCCATTTGTATCTCTGGTGGCTAGAAAAAAGTTGGAAAATCGTAATAGCAAATAAACAACAACTAATTATGGATCGAATATCAAGGTTTCTTGCATTAGGCTGAATGAGTCCTTCGATTATATCATTTTATACTACTTGAAACAAAACTATTCTTACCATCAATGCTGGCGTTACATCAAATAGATCATTTTGCCACGTTAAATTTGTACTAAAAGCATTCAGCGTCATACTACTTTCCTAAAATAAATGTGTAAGTAACGAGTTTTATTTCCTTTTTCGAAATCTGAAAGTACTGCTTCTTTAGTAATTTCTTTTGCAGTCTCTCCTAATGTCCACACTCTTACTTTGGATTCCGACTCTAACACAGAAAGATCGAGCTCTTCTTTTTCCAACCTGAAACAGAGTTAAAGCATGTAGGATTATGTGTAATATTCTCAACACAGTATTTTAACTACATTTCATCAAACAAATATTTCATTGAATTCAAACGACTTTCCATTTGCGTACGTTCTTCAGAGGATGCCGTTTCCATTTCCAATTTAACATCTAGATACGAACGAAAAAGAGAACACCAAAAAAGTAGAAAAACTTTAGAGTATTTTGAATTATATAATTACCGAATTTCATTTGCTTCAGAAGTTCGATAGCTTGTTCTTGATTTTTTAATGTATAATAATATGTATCAATCAACGTTAACATTGTATCAAATTTTTCATAGCATTGTCGATATGAAACATTTTTACATAAGGAAATAAGTTCCGGACATAATCGAATTTTCTCTGTTACAGACGATGAATCCAATTGTTTTTTTGAATCAATTAATTGTTCTTTTATTGAGACTGACTAAAAGTGAAATAAAATGAAAAATTATACGGATTACATAAAAAAAGCTTTGTAAGTCCAGTAGTTATTAACACTTCTCGGACAATACTTCAAATCGGAAGTCCTGCTCGAGACTGAATTCAATGGTGATAAATTTCTTCTGCTACTGGTTGAAACTGATTGAGGAAAGTACCTGAGCCAACGCAGAACGCTCCCGTGTAGATTTGGAAAAGTGATTTGAAAGCCTATTTTCACGATGAAAGCGTGAGTCGCTCGACAGTCATCATACAGGACGAGCGTTGGGAAAAAATGAACACGTGAACGTTCAGCGAACGTTTCTCAAACTTTTCATATACCTGCGATTTTTCGCCATCCCATCCAACGTATGGTAATACATCTATGTCTTTTTCTAACATAATATCTAACAGTTGAACACCTAAAACAAAAAAAGAGTGACTGTAATCGGCTGTTCATAAGTGAAGGATGAATCATTCAATATTCACCTTCATGTGTAAATTTATCGTCTTTATCCCTTTCTTCGATGGCAATGAAACTTGTAAATGGGCTAACGACTGAATATTTTATACTCAGATCAATAATATGTTGTTTAAAGTGAGATTTTATCAGCTAAACACAAAACTATAATGTGTTGCACCTTTACTACTATTTTTAATTGGAAAGAAAAAATTTACTTCATTCTCTATATCGTCCATATTCACCAATCCATTTTCCCAATCATCAATAATTGCTCGAGCTGCCAGACAATGTAGAATTTTTCCTGTTGTTTCAGTCATTTTATTTGTAAATACAGTCGTTGTCAATTCACATCCATTAACATTTGCTTTTAGTGTTGCCTTTAAACAAGACAGAAAAGAACAATACTTAGTTGATTTAAAGAAAAATCGTCTTTTTGAAATTAATGATTTGATGATGACACGTAAACTGTTTGCGCAGTGGTCAAACATATTGAGTCTGAATCTCACAGGCTTACATAAGCACTATCCTGCTCCTCCTTTTATCCACGATGAGAAGGAAGGACTACGGCGACGAGCAGTACATTGTTAGATAAATCAAGAACAAACAGGGTCGTGATGTGTGATTCTGTTAAGTTAGACTCGGTCATGTGTTGCCGGGTACCAGCTCTATTACCGTTTTAAGACAGAAAGGCAGCTGGGTAGATTGCTTATAACTTTTAAAGGGAAAGAGCTAGAGACATGCGGATTTTCAAATTAAAGCATTCTACCGCTATGTTGCGTATAGAGTGGATATTTCGAAATTTTTATTTAGTGACTATAGGTTGGTTTGCAATCAAAAATAAACATCATCGCTCGACTCAGCGTTGCCGAATACCTCTATCTTGACCTATCTTAAGATCACTCAAGGTCAACTAACCGAAATCGGAGCGCTCGTAAAAGTGCTTATAACTCTTGAATCTTAAGAGATAGAGAGTTAAGACCGGTCTAGAATTGTAGATCTCGGTTTGAGCTATCCATTGCACTGTTTGAAAATCAAAATCCATCGTACTGTCCTGGAACGGCGGTCTCGTAGACTTTGCATCGAAAGGTTTGCCATGATAAACCTTACCTGGAGGCCCAGTTTTCACATACGCCTACGTTCTCTGATGTTCTCTATCCAACGGTGAAGACCGCATGTCTCTAGCTCTTTCCCTTTAAAAGTTATAAGCAATCTACCCACCTGCCTTTCTTTTTTTTAAACGGTAATAGTCTTCATTATTACTTTTAATAAAAAGTTGAGATAGCATTTAAGGTTCATCGCTTTTTATATCTCAGAAATGTTACGGACAAATCTGTCACATTGATGCAGTTAAATAGTCGTAACAGTGTATCAAAAGAGAGGAGTCAGGCATCTTTTAGGTTTTGAGGAAGTGTGATATTAGTTAATTTTACTTTTTAGCATTCTTCTTACTTTATAGCAGTTATTAATAAAACCATAAATTGTTAGACGTTGACCGTTAAACAGTGAGTGTATATGTGATGGTGCTTGAAGAAATTGCAGATTGTTATTTTCATCTAATTGTTCGTTATGCCAATCAATAACAATCCCGTTGACGCATGGTTGACGAATACTTTCTAAAATATTCAATACCTACAACAAAACGAAGGAGAAAAAGTGTTGTAAAAGTTAAGAAACTTTTTAAGTTTCATTCTGTTTCTACTTTTATTTTCCATTTCGAACGATAGTTAGTATCGAATACTGTTGATTGACCCCCACCACTTGTACAACTAATTAATTGTTTCAGGTTATGTTTATTAGCTGTTTCACTAATAGAACATGTAAAAAATCGATCATGTTTCATTTGCTGCTGTTTTAACAACAAAATAATAGCTTTCATATCATTCAGATGACCATCGGATAATAAAATAAAATTACGTTCTCCTCTACCAGATAATAATGAATAATTTCGAAGAACAGAAAACAGATCTGTATTACCACGATGACTCAATGAATGAAGAACAAAATGTTTTGCTTTGTCTAAATTTTCTTTTATTAATGGAACAGACACAGGAAAACATTCATCATTATCTGAGCCAAATGTAACAATATTAAATAAAATGTTGTTATTTTTATTGGTGGAACTTATCATATTTGACAGAAAAAGATGTGCCAACTGTTTCGCTTGTTTCATCGTTTTTCCATCCATCGAATTTGATGAATCGATTAAATAAATAATTTCAATTGTGACTTGTGTTGTTTCAAAATCAAATTCAGGATAAAATGTTAACATACAAGCTTTTGATTCTGAATCTGATTTATATGTTTCAACTAACATACGAGGAATATGAATTGTTTGCAATGTGATTGTTAAAATAAAATCTTTATCAAAAATATTATCAATTAATTCAATCATTGCTTGACAATCGGTTACCTTTCGACGAAGACGATGTGTTGGTGAAAATAGTTTTTTTATTGAGTATGGCATTTGTACGGTGGCTTTTAAGCTAAATTGAATTTGATTTGAATCAGTTGTTGATGTCATTCCAATTGATGGTAGTATAGTCTAAAACAAAAAATAATATGAATCCAGTCGTATAAATGGTCAAAAATTCTACGCATTTTTATCTTTTAGCGTCTGTAAACTAGATTAGAGTTCCAGCACGTTTTAAAGCTGTAGATCTACATTAACCCGAATTTCTAGGACATTTGATAATCTCAAAACGCACGTGAAATATCTATGAGTTTAATGGTAAACTATTATAAGAACTTCTGCTTTGATGACATATAGTTTAATTGTCTTTCTCTCAAAAACAGTGGCTATCTTTATTGGTTTTGAATTTCATCCCTTGCTTAGGTCGTTTATGAAGAGAAAACGCACTTGGTCGTGATGTTCAATGGCCATTTTCGATTGCCAATCGGCTACTTTTGCTGGTAAGCGAAACATCACATCATCATTTTCAATTGGCAATTCTTGGACATAAGTAATTTTAATAACAACTTCACAATTGGGTGGTAAATTTCCGACGGACACGCTGAATACTTCCTAGATAAAAAAGAAAGTATTATGGATGGTTCAATTCTATTTATTATTTTTTATTTTCATGAATATACCGGTTGTTCTTGATCCATTAAATAAGCACCGTGACCTTTTTCAATTGCCTCCCTATATTCTTTTTTAGCTTGCTCTTTTTCTTTAACCACACCGATGATGACCTTGTTGTTAACATGTGCTTCAAAACCACAAACGGTTGAATGTTCATCAAGTGGGAAAACATATTTGGCTTCTATTGATTGCGAATTATTATTATGAAACAATTGATACAGTACAACCTGCAATATGAGAATTTCAAACAACCGACGTTATTTAATATAAAAACATTAACTATTTACTTCGGCGGTAATATCAATTAATTGTGCTCGAATATGAAATTGTTTCAATGGCAAACGTCGACCAGAAGTAATAAGACCATAATCTTGTTCAGCGATCTGTATTACTTCGTCTTCAATTAGTTCTGGTACTAAAAAAAATAATTTGAAAATATAAGGATGATCTCAGTAGTAAGAACCAAAGTTTTACTTTCTATTGTTGATAGTTGCCGCTCTGCCATTTGATCCCATATAATTGGTAATTTTGTGATGGGAATATTTGAAATGACATCATGTGGATGCCATGAAACTTCCACCAAATAGAGAAGACGTTGTTGATCAAGATTATAAATGACAAACTCATTATCCTGTACAAGAAAAGAAAATTAGAATTAATGAATGATACATAATATATTATCAGAGGATAAGACAAAAAAATTACTTCAAATACTGAATGATTTTCATTTGTCATTTTAACACCATGAACACTATGATAATTTTCCGGTGCTTGCGTTAAATCACATGCATATGAGTAGTAATTCGCACTGTCACCAAGAGCCACTTGACATATACACAATAAACGCTTCCTGTTTTGATCACTTTTATTTGTGTACTGCAAAGACGTACTAAAACAACACATAGAGAAACGATAAGATTAAAGTACGCTATTACCATAAAAATATATTACCTCACTGAATCTGAAAAGTACAAACCATAACCTAAATGTCCGACATCAGTTCTTGTATTTCCCATTTCATTAACAATTATTTTTGGCATTAACAAACCTCTACAAAAATAAAAAATTATCAGCGTAAACATATGGAACTCTTCTCAAATTATTCGCTATCATCATCACAAAAGAATAGACCATGGTTTCAAAGAGAACTAAAAAGAGAACTAAGTTAGTTGTAATCAACCTGGGTCTGCAAGCTACTGAAACCTTAATATTACTTGCCATAAGTAACGTGTTTCTAAGAGAGGAGAGCGTGTTTCCATGTTCATGGAAAACCCTAATAGTAAGAATATATCGCGATCGCAAAGTGACATCAAAATTTTATAGCAATCGCCACATGAGTAAGCAAATCTATAGCCATCATGTCGTGATAAGCGTGCTCGTGGCATGACTACGGCAATAGTGTTGACTTGGGGATTGTACACGTCCTATTTTGGGTCATTTACATGACCCTAAGGTTCGTTAAAAAATTCATTGAAGTAAATTACCTTGATAAAATACCAAGAAAATTGCTGTATTTTGAACCATGAAAGAGTTGACATTGATTATGTAATGTTGTTTGAAAATTAATTACTTCCGTTTGTCTAGTCACTTCGAATATATTATGAATAATTACTTGTTCATTTCTGTAACATAAAATCATAGTCGTGATTGTGTCGTTTTTGTTATTACACACAGAATACATACGAATCTGTGGATGATAAATGAATCATATCACTAAGTTTTCTAAATTCCAATGAATCTTTGTCCATCGTATTTATATAACATTTCAGCGAACGATATTTAGCTTCAGTGGAGGCTTTTACATTCCAATTTGTTATTTCATTGACAGTTAACATATCACGCAACATCTACTCCGAACAAAGCAAAAAGAAAAGTATGTTTTTGTGTAACTCTTCCTATAAATTCTTCTTCTGAAGAAGAACAAGGAGTGAAAATTTGTAAAGGGAAAAATTGTTGAAAATCTGAAATTTTTATCCCCCTTTTTACAGATGAAAGAATAAAGTTAAACTTTACTTGACACAGATCCATTTTTTCACGTAGTACACGTCGATTATTTAAATCCAATACAAACAGCGAATTGTGTGGAATAAGTGAATAAAATTTGGCATTGATTTCAACTGATACATCATTCGCATTATTATCTAAGAAACGCTTTTGCTCCAATAGAACAGCTTCAGCTTCGATAATCTAAATAAACAATTTAAAACACTAAGATACATAAATTGAGTCTGAAGGACCTTGTTAGTCAGTTAGAATTCCTCAACGTTGGATGCCCCCTCTCGAGTGCACTATAAGCTGCTTTATCTGTTCTTCTATAACCAGGAAGTCCAAGCCTACTCAAAGCGTAGAAAAGCTTTTTCCTCGTCTTTCTCTTACATTTTTCACTGTTATTGTTTCTGGTTGAACACTCAACAACTCTTTTAGATCACCAACTGATTCTAACCATATTGATTCAACTAATTGACCAATGCTATCATCTATTGATTGTGTATCAATCTTATGACACCATAATAACTACAATATACAAATGTACATAACAGCACGTTTCGCGAAACAGTGGAAGAAAGCGACGTACCCGAACAAGTGATTTGGAACCGATATGATTTGGTAACATGTCTTTGATTTTTATTATACGAGGCATTGTTGCAATACGATAGTAATACGATGAAAATAATTGTTCCTGTTCATTCACATCATCACTGTACATGTATTGAACTATTTTTTCGTTTTTGATCAGAAATGAAGAAAGACACACAAATATATAAGTTTTATTATAGGCATGTTAACATACTTGATCTGTTGAAAACATCTGTTTTTCATAACGAAATCGTATTCGATGTTCACTTGTAACGGTCATTCGATTATCTGGTATAACTTGTATTTCCAAGACAAAATAAACAAATGAATTATCATTCGTTTCCTATAAAGAAAACGTGTTGTAACTGAAGAATAAACAAAAACTGATGCTGAATACTTTAAATATTGCCCATTTTGCAATTTCAGCATTTATTTCATCAAATGTTGGCAAATTGATATCATCATAATTCCATACTTTTATTTTGGTAATATCGATTTTCGATTTAACCACAGGACCAGATTTAATTGGACTACCTAAAAAGATTAAAAATAGCATGAAAATTAAGAAAGCTAAAAAAGATTTAAGAATATCGTCGTCCCAAGTCAAGCAATCCTACTAGGATTCTACAAGATCCCATAGAATCTTACTGATAATAGGATTTCATAGGATTCCTGTTATACGGTTCTGTGAAATCCTAAGCCACAGAATCCGTAAAATTCTTGGTATAGTCCTATAGAAAAATATAGGATTATATATATAGGATGAAACTCGCTACTGTTCAACGACGTGTGGATCAGTACTCACAAGTCTTGGGCTTATCCTAGCTCAGAATCACCTGATTTTGGGTGGCTGGGATCAGAGAATAATCAAACAAATAAAAATAATAAACCTAGGAGGCTAAACCAGCAGAAAATTCGATAAAATCCTACTGCAATCTTACAATAGGATCCTGTAGGATCTTGCAAGATTCTATAAGATCTGACAACAGGATCCTATAAGAATCTTACAATAGGATTTTGAAGGGTTTTTTGGCTTTCGGATTCTCCTACAAAGTCACACAAGATTTTTGTAGGATCTTACAGGATCCTAAAGTTAGATTTTGTAAGAATCTTGTAGGATCCTTCGGTAGGTTTGTTTGACTTGGGTTCACGATTGAATTACCAGAGAAATGTTCGTGTCTTTGGAAAAGAACGAACAAACTACTGTTTAGGTCTAGGCATGCACCAATCCGATAGTTCGGTGACCATGTTCGGATGAAGGCTGCAAATACGATAGTTTATCTCAGTTTATTTTAGTTATTATTAACTATTAAGGGCCTCCCTCCCCTCAGAAATGGTGATTTTCGGTCAAAAAATCGGTTTTAAGATACACACATGGAAAGATAGCCTGAAGTGTCTACTTCCAGAATCTGTATTGCTTTTGGTTACAAAACTGGTTTTTCGGGGATTTTGAGCAAGTTTTCCAAGAGCCTCGAAAAAATGGGTCTTTAAATAATGTTTTTTTCCTGGATACTCATGCAATTAAAATTTTTTTGAAAACACAGCTTTGCAGAGCAAATGTTTCTGATCAAAATAAGACCTCGCACA